CCCGCTCCTTGTATTTTACTATGTTGAATTATAACCGATCTAATTGTTCGAGAAATTTCTTGAAAGTCGACTTGCGAGGCAACGTGAGATCAAGTCTCACTCTCTATCGCCGAACCAGTTAGAACAGTCGCAAAAATCGAAAATATGGAGAGACAGTCGGGCCGATATATTAGAACTTTTGGACTTAGTCGAAATTACAACTCTGTACTTATAAGTCGATATTATATTGCTAATAGTTAAACTAAATTCAGTGTCGAATCATTTAAGAACCATCCTGTCGTTTTACCATTTTCATCGAAGTATCATCGTTAATAAATAAAACAAAATAACCAGGGTCGCGTCTAGGACGTAACCGTCGCAGTCGTTTGAATTATCTTTGAACAATAAGAATATTCCTATTAAGAAGTCGATAATCGAAAGATTCTATAAGGCTTCTTTCAATAATAAGATGCATAATGTTAAATATTTTATAAATATAGATATTACATTTTTTTTAATAGTATTTTCGCATATAATTAATGTTGCGACATACATATTTTTAAATACATATATGCGTATATATATAAATAGATTGCAAATCTAAGATCATTGCTATCACAGCTAACAAGCGAATATTGTGACAATGTCACTTTCGACGTTGCCGGTTCGACAAGCGTATGAAGCTGAGCGAAGCGCGGAGCTGACATGTACGTGACTTGTGCATGTGTGCGGTTACCCCTCCATTCCTGCTGTTGTTGCGTGTGAAATCTGGCGACACTGGCTGTGTTCCGAAATTCACTGTCAGTACTGAAAATCTATAGTTTACGTAACGTATATTGTAGATTTTCAGTACTGGCAGTGAATTTCGGAACGCAGTCACTGATGAGTCGTGTGCCATGTGCTCGTTGGTGTGTGTCGTGTCGTGCGCCGGTCCCCGCTATGAAAAGACGTAAGTATATACACATTTTTCTTAAATTCTTTTATAGTTTTTTCATTTGTAAATATACAATAATAATAATAATTGGTAATAATACATTTCTCGCGATTGAATTGTTAATAGATTAATATTTATTCTTTGTTTCAGCTAAAAGCGAGGGAAGTGTGGAAAAACAACTGAAGTCGACGATGTCGCCGTCGTCATTGCCAGTCACAATGACGGCGACGACATCGTCGTCTACAATGTCCACGAGAAAAAGGGGAACAGCGGCGTCGGGGTCAACGGCGTCGCAAACAATGGCACCGGCGCCGCAAACAGCGGCACCGGAGACAGCGGCGTCGGGGTTAGCGGCGCCGCAAACAGTGGCACCGGGGACAGCGGCACCGGGGACAGCGGCACCGGCGACAGCGGCGTCGGGGTTAGCGGCGCCGCAAACAGTGGCACCGGCGCCGCAAACAGCGGCACCGGGGACAGCGGCGGCGGGACCATGGTTTGGGTTTAGAAGAAACGTAAGTAACGGTATTATATACAGAAAAGTGTAAACACAGTGCGGTGCGTTACATCAGTTATGTGTCAAGAGTGAATCTGTGCATGTGTATATGTATACGCGTGTGTAAAAAAAATGCTGATGCAACGCACCGTTCAGTGTTACGCCCAAACATTTTTCTTTTTTTATTTTTTTTTATAATAGTTAGCATTTCTCGTTCGCGACACAACCTAATTTAGCTACATGCCGCGTTACTTGTCGAACTCCGCTTTTCTTTGGCCGTCTTTTTACTTTTTTTTTTTTTTTTTTTTTTTTTTTTTTTTTTTTATA